AAGCAGCAGCAGGTCCTGGGGCCCCCCGGGTTGGCACCGGCGGAGTCTCCCGGGACCCCGCAGCCCTCGGGTTGGAAATGACCCCGCTGCTGATCGAGAGGAGGGAGAACAAGGGGGCGGAGAGGGGCTGCGCGGCTGTCAGCGAAGCGCCAGGACTCGGGACTGTTTTCTCCTTATAAAGTTCTTTCCCTCCTCTGGCAGCGTCCCCATCCTGGCCGGTCCTGGTGGGGTGCGTTTGCCGGGAATTGCATCCCCTTCCCGTAGCTGCATCCCTGAGAGATGGGGTCTGGAGAGAAAATGTGGTGAAAACTTTGCTGCTGGACAGCAGATGTGTTGGAATCAGCACTGGTTGCTCTGGGACGTGGAAGTGCGCACGCAGCAGTGACCACCACATTCCCTGGAAGTCCCTGCCCCATGAACTGACCATCCCTCTCCTGCCTGGGGGTCCCTGCCTCAGGGTCTTGCCAGTGGCGCCACCTGGGCATGTCCCAGCCCTCCCCGTGTGTCCTAAGGGTCACCCAACACACCAGAGACCACCTGTCAGGGACAGGGGGCTGAGACCCCACACCTCCATGGGCTCTCTTGGGGTTTGGGAGCTCAGCCCTCCCCACACTTGGGGTGGTCCTGGCCAGAGCCCCCAGCTGTGGGCAGTGCTCTGCTCATGCATGTCAGGGCACTGCACTGGGAAGGTCTGCAGTGAGTTGGGCTCCTTGCCCAGCTCTGCCAAGGGATTTTTGGCACTGACAGAGTTGGTAAGGTCCAAGCATGCCAAGGGCAGAGTCCAGGAGAAGCCCCATGTGTGGGGGCTCCTGGTGTGTCCTGCTCTGGGGCACATGGCTGGGTTTACAGCAGCACTGTCCCCAGTGCAGCCATGGTTGGGGGAGCCCCATCCTCCATCACCTTCTTTAAGGGAGGTGGGGAGGGATATTGGAGCAGAAGCACCAAATCCTTGCTGAGAGAAAGCTTGGGACAGCTGGTTTTAATAGAAACAATTCATGTACTACTCCACTGTGGATCTGCATGGGCTGGGGGTGTGCAGGTCATGGTGGGGGCCTTTGCCAAGTGCACAGCCTGTGCCAGCAGGGCCCTCCTCACCCCAGGAAGGTCCATACAGGAACAGTGTGCCACTCTCATGGCTGGGTCTTGCTCTCCTTGCTCAGATTTGAGAAGAGACACTGAAAATGAAGCCCTCTCCCTCTTCCCAGACCCCTCGGTCCTTGTGGGCAGCATTGGGCTGAGTTCCCATGGATGCAGGGAGGGGTCAGTGGGGGCGAGGGTCCCATGAGCTGCCCCACTCTCTGAGCATCAGAGCCACAGCAATTGCTGTCCACTGTGACGCCTGGGGAGGGCTGGTGGCCATGGGAGCTCACAGCTGGCATCACCTGCCCCGAGCTGGCCTTGTTCCCAAGGCTGCTTCCTGGGCACAGGAATCTTTGCCCCTGGTGCTGGTGAGTGCCAATGTGTCAGGGCTGGTGCTGCTGGGTTCGGCTGTGCCTGCACAAGCCCGCTCCTCCTTCTGCACCAGGATGAACTCTGGCTGCACTCTGCAGCGGAGGTGCACACTTGAGTTAATGTGCGACAAACAGCCAGCACAGCACCGCCGGCAGGGCAGGGATTGGAAGCAGCCAGGTCTCACTCGGCTTGGAAGCACGAGTAGTTTGTGCTGTGAGAGGTGTAGGGTGTGTGGGGTGTGTGGGACTGAGCAAGCTGGGGTGTCTGGTGCTGGGCAGGGATGGGATTATCTTCTGTCTGGTTTCCTGCTAAGCACAGAGTGGGGACCCCTCATAGTACCTGTCCCTGCTCTGGCACCTCGGGCAGAAGTGGCAGGACACAAATGCCTAGCTGTCCCCTGGAGTTGTCTCCCAAGGCTGTTCCCTGGAGCTGTGTCCCAGGGCTGTCCCTCTGGCTCTGTCCAGTCAGGGCTGTACCTCAGGGGATATCCAGGGAGCTCTGGGCTCGGTCCCAGCACCTCGCCAAGAGGAAACCTCCCTTGTTTGCAGCTTTAGTGCCCACTTCACTCACCACCTTGTACTGCGGAGGCATCTGTCTGCCCAGGCACTGGAAAATGCCGCCCATGGTAGTCCAGCCACACTGCTGGACTGTTATTTTTACTCTTCTTACTAAGACAGGGTTGCATTAAGAGGGTGTTTGCACTGCTGAAGCCCAGAATAACTCCTCATTTGCTCAAGGTGTTCAGCGCAGGATTGTGACTCTCCTCGCCCCCGCCCCTCTCCTGGAGCTGTTTCAAAGCGCGCCGGTCCCTGCAGTGCCGGTGCCTGCCGTGTGTCCTGCACACACAGAGCCGCTGTTTGCTCTGCTGGGTGTGTGCCGGGGCGGCTGCAGCCCCTCCAGTGCCCGCACATCCTGACTCAGTCCCTTGTGCAGGCAGATAAACAACCCCTGAAAGGGGCAGTGTCTGCTCTGAGTCGCCCTGTTAAGTCGTCAACCGACTTCAGGAGCTCTGCCCATCTCCTCGCTGCCTCCCGCCCCGGGTATTCCCCAAACTCAGCCCCAGCCCAGCCGCTGCTCCTGCAGCCCCCGGGACACCTGTGAGGGGTGCTCGGCATCGTCCCGGGGTGAGGGTCTGTGAGGGACCCTGCAGGGATGCGACTTCAGGACAAAAAGAGATTTATGTCCACAATGACAGGGCCAGCGGGGAGCTCTGGGGGCTGTGTGGGCATCCTGGCATGCAGGATGCAGCGACCACCCCTCTCACACCCCTGATCTGTGAGCATGGGAAAGTACTTCCCTAAGCTGGGGTGAAAGGACTTCCCAAAGACGGGATGAAAGTACTTCCCAAAGCTGGGGTGAAAGTACTTCCCAAAGCTGGGGTGAAAGTCCTGCAGCTGCTCCGTTCGCGGTGGGCAGAGCCAAGGGGCTCGGCAGCAGCCGCAGCCGAGGGTCCATACGGGCATGCAGGCTGGGGCGAGGGAGGACGGGGTTGGTGGTGGCATCGCGCTTCCTTCGGGGCTCTGGTTGCCACAGGCAGCTCTGGCGCTGGGCCAGGGCTGAGCAGGACGGGCTCGGGGCAGCGCGGGGCTCCCGAGGCGGTGGGGTTAGAGCCGGCATAAAGGGAGCTTGTTCCCAGCTGTGCCAGCCCAAGCACTGCAGCCTTTCCTTTGGGAGGAGAAGTGGCTTTTTAAGGAAAAGCAGATTGTTTTTGCACCTGCCCCCCCGGCAGGCGCGGTGCGCTCCGGTGCAGCAGCCGCAGGGCAGATGCGGCCGTGGAGCGGCGGCGCTCCCGGGGCACCGGGAGGGATGTGCGGGGCTGCCGGACCAGCCCGCGGCTCTGGCTCCGGCTCACGGCACGGGCTGAGCCAGAGGCTGTTCCCGAAAAATGCGGAGATTGAACCAGCATGGCCTGGAGTGACCGGCCACCAGCAGCGGATAACCAGCTTCTCTGGGGAGTCCTGGTGCAAGGCACCCCCTCCCGCTCCCGGGGGGGGCTCAGGAGGAATTAATTATGTAACTGTCTTTGTTTATAGGCGGAGTCTGTATTTTTATTTGAAAGAAATGAGAGAAAAAAAAACCCTCTCGAAAGTCTCTAGGTTTATTGGGTCTGCAAGCACGGTGGGGCAGGAAAGGTGGGGGCTTCCCTGGCGAGGTCCCAAGCAAGCCCCTGGGAGGTGGGTCCTGTGTTGGACAGCAGCAATGCATGCAGGGGAGGTGGATTCTCCATCTGTGCCAAACCTTTCCTGGCTGGTGGCCCCAGGATGGCCACAAGGCCAGTCCCACTGTGGCAGGGTCCCCAGCACTCCAGAGTGGGCTGCAGTGCTGCAGGATGGGCTCGCCTCCACTGCCAGGACAGTCATGAGCCAAACACAATGTTTTGCAAAGTGATCTGGCCGTACCTGGTGCAAACTGAATTCCAGCCTCTGACTGTCATTTCCCAGCAGTTTGTTGGAACCCCCCCAGCCCTTCCTCCCCAGGGCCTCTGTTCCCCCAGGGCACCGCTCCCCGGTAATCCCTCACCACTTTCATAGCTTGCAGGCTCCAACGGGTCTGCAGGGGGAAACAAGAAGGGTCTGTCCTCCCCAGATGGTGCATGGAGTGTTTGTGCTCCTGGGTGAGTTCACACATCCGGATTTAATGCCTGAAGCTGGGTGGTTCCCCCAGGGCTAAGCCATGAGCCATGTGTGTCCCCCATGCAGGTCACCTGTGTGCTGTCATCATCTGCCCAGGGCGGGTGTCTGCAGGGCCTGAGCAAGCACTGCCAAAGGCATTTTCCATCCATCCCTCGGGATGCAGTGCAGCTGGGATTTTGGAATGCCTTTCCCTGGCCAGCTCAGATCAGATTGAGTTACGTCCAGCCCTTGGAGCTCTACCCTTTGGCGTTACCCCTCACCCTTCCTGTTTTCCTCTGGTATCACTGGTTTCTCTGGTTTTCCATTTCTTATGGCTATCCTGCAGCTCCCCAGAGCACCAGCAACCCCAGCTCAGTGACAGGCAAGACCTCTTTTTACTCTGCCACAGTGGGCACTTGGAGATAATGAAGCTTCTCTGGGATACCTGTGCTTGCAGCCACGTCCCAGAGCCAGGACTGAGCTGGTGCCCTTGTCCCACAGCTCAGCTGCCTCTGTGATTATCCAGAGCTGCCTCTGTGTTTACCTGCTGAAACCAGACCCGCTGTCACCCAGGAGGACAAATCCAGGCAAGACAGTTCCCACTGTGGCACAGACCAAGCCCCCAACTTGTGCCTCTGAACTCCCAGGGCTGTTTGTGGCTGAACCGCAGTTCAGGGGCTGCCAGGGCAGGAATGGGCCTGTGGTGGCTCTGCTGCCACCAGAACTGCTGGGGGACCCATGTGGGGGGATCTGAATTTTCCCTCATGCTGTTGTCACTGCGTCTCTGCCTTGTCACCCATTTCCCACACTTCCTCCTTGCCTGGGACAGGGCACAAGTGTGGCAATGGCTCGGAGTGCGGGAACCCCAGTGCCTCTTGCTCTTCTTCTTCTCTTTTTCCTCTTTGCTCTGTCTTGTCGCAATTGAACCCATTGACCCTGCAGCCCCTGCAGTTTGTAGGGCAGAGCTTGATGGGAATCTGGTGGTGAGGAGGAGGAGAAGGAGGAAGAAGAAGAGTGCTGTGGTTGTCTGTGGTCAGAGCTCCCTGCTCTGTGCTAACCCACGCAGTGTCTGCTCTGAGGGGGAATGGCTGACCCAGGAACTGCCATGGGCAAGAGAAGGTCATTCCCTGGGGCTGGGATCTGTGCCTGATCCATGGGCCCTCCACCTCTCTGAGCTGGTTTTGTCATCTGCTGCATCCAGCATTTTAGACCTTTTTTCCTTTGGGAAAAAGCATTTCCTGGGACTTTGTGGGAGTTTCCCTCCAAGGTTGGAGGGTGCTCTGCACCCTGGCACTGCCAGACACTGACCAGCCCACACTGCTGGAACCCTGCCAGGCCCTGACAAACGATTTTGCCATTTCACGAGGGAAAGGAGACATTGATTAACTCCTGTACTTGCCTTTCTGGAAAGGTTATGGCTTAATTGGTCAAACTGGGGAGTCATAAATCATGTGCTGAAGGATCAGCAGAGATAAAATTTTTGCCAGAATGTTGCAAAACACATTTTGGTAGGAGGGAAGGAGGGATATGGGTATGCCCATCCAGCTGTGGGGGCTGACAGCCCTGGAGTGCACAGAACCTTTCCAGGGAAACGATTCACCCTCCAGTCACAGGCCGGAAATTCCCCTTTTTGTTATCAGTTAAGCTCAGGATTTGCAAAATATCTTTTTTTTTTTTTTATTTTACTTACGGAAAAAGAAAGCAACAGGAAAGTCATTGTTTGCTTTATTCAGAAGAATCATAATTCCATCTGGTTTGAAAAATTACTCTCCTTTTCACTGGAAAGTGCTATTTCTCCAACCTAAAAGCTGTAATGGGGGGGGGATACAGCAGATCAGCTCTCAATAGGGTGGAAAATTGAGCAAGGGAACTGTCAGTCTTGGCTTGGAATGATGCCGGAGGGAGAAAAGGTTTTTGGCTCTGGCAGTGAGCTGGGTCCCATCCAGGTGGGCACAGCTTGCATTGGCTACATGGGCACACCCAGCTGTAGGGCACAGGGATGGGGAGCAGGGACATACCATGGAGAGGTAGAAATGTCCTGGCTCAGGGACCTTGGTGACACTCAGGATGTGGCATTATTGGAGAATGGAACGAACTCTAGGCTCCACAGGACAGGCTGTGCACACCTGTCCAGGTTCTCTAGGATGACTTTCCAACCAGAAGGAATGGGATGGAGTCAGTGACCAGGATTTCAGTGGAGCAGGGACAGAATTGTCAGTAGGTAAATCCGTGTCGAGCTGAGGAAGATGGAGTCTAAAAGAATCGTAGGGGCAAGGAAAGAGCAGACAGTTGTGTAGGGCCAGGAGTGGTGGCAGGCAGAGGTGCTGAGACAGGGCAGGGCCGGGGTCGGTCCCGTCAGTAATGACCCAGACAGGAGGAGCGCGGCGC